AATATAAAAAAGTTATATAACTTATAAGCTATAATATAATATATTGTATGTAAAATATGTACTATATGATATATAATATTATATAATACACACTACATATCATATATAAATATAAAAATATATTTATCATATAATATATTAAGCTATATAAATATATGTAGCATGTTTATATATAATATGTATATATATTTGCTTTTACCAATGGGAACAGTAGGGCTCAGAAGTTACTTCCCTAGGATCCACCAGACGCTGCTGGATGTTGAAATCCTGCGCTCCTTTCATTATGTCACTGAGTCGCTGAATGTCATGGATATTCTCCCATCAGTTTCTGTGATGACTGACAAATTTGCACATTTCATGCAAGGCCAAACTGTGAATCACGACAGTATTTTTCAATGTTAGTTGATTCCTGTTTTTTTCTAAATGTCAGTTGTGCCCATGATACAAACAAGTTGCATTTCTCTGTTGCAGGTTAGATGCAATACTCTAACCTACAATAATCTCACATTTCCCTATGTTATCTATTCTGTCTATGTAATTTTTTGACTGCTTGGCCGAACTATAAAATGTGTTTCAAATCTAACTTCAGTTTTAAAATATAGTTATGTAAATTATCTCACTTAAATCTCTAGATAAGGCACCCAAAGGAAAAGACAAAAGAGCCTATAAAATTCTCCAGGTACCGTGTTAAGAACTGGTAACATAAAGATAAAAAAGACAGAGACTTTGCCCTGGCGTACCTCAAGCATGTGATGGGTGGATAAGAGCTGTACACAAATGATTATGATATAAAGCAGGATAAAGTAAGTCCCCGAAAATGTTAGCTTCGTGTTTTCGAAGCTCAGGTGCACAGAGAGAGTCTTTCACCCGTGGGACCCGAAGGCTGCCTGTGACGTCTGAGCTAAGTCTTGAAGGATTCATTAGTGTGATTCTTCCTCAAAATTTGTAAGGAAATTAGTGCTATTAAACATAGTAATTCTAAAGATTTTAAAAGAAGGACATGGGGATGAAACCAATTTAAAAATATCCTACAGGTAGGGGCGCCTGGGTCGCTCAGTCATTGGGCGTCCGCCTTCGGCTCAGGTCATGATCCCAGGGTCCTGGGATCGAGCCCCGCATCGGGCTCCCTGCTCAGCGGGAAGTCTGCTTCTCCCTCTCCCACTCCCCCTGCTTGTGTTCCCTCTCTCGCTGTATCTCTCTCTGTCAAATAAATAAATAAAATCTTAAAAAAAAAATAAAAATATCCTACAGGTATAAAAATTTAATACTCTTTTTCTTTTGAAATGTATCTTTAATTTTTGAAACATTTTATGAAACATTCTTGCCAAAGAGTCGAAACATACTCTCTTGGGTCATTCTTCAAAGACAGTGAAGATCAGCCTGGCAGCATTTTAAGAATTTGATGTAAAACATATCGTCTAACCTGAATAACTCTGGGACCGTGCCACTCTCCCTGGTCTTGCTGTTGATTTCTGTTTTTAAGGAAATGAAAGTATGAGTGGATCTCGGAAAAGAATTGAAGACATTAATTGTATTTGTGCGATTTGGGCACTAGAGGGCCACCAACCTTGCAAAGTTTCTTCTTTCCATCAGCTTTCAGTTTTTCATGTAATCTTAACCTTTTAACACAAAGAAATGCTTTGCACTTTTATTATGAAATATTGATAGATACTAAAATATATAGTGTCCTATGTAACATATAAAGTGAAATAACACATAAATGCATGTGTTTTCCTGCCTAGATAAAGAGATAATATTTTACTAATTATCTTTTAAGCCACTTGTTTGTACCTCCTAACTTCATCACCTGGGTCCCCTTCCCAACCCAGAAGTCATCACCATCAGACTGCATGCTTATCCTTCACTTACTTTGCTTGATAGTTTTACTACATACATACAGATCTCTAAACAAAATCCTTTGTTGTTTTTACAAAACCGCATTGAGCTAAAAGACAACACTGTATGATTCCATTTGCATAAAATCCCAAACCCAGGAACACATGAACTTAACTACCTTTGTGCCAAGTTCAGAATATAGAGTGCCGTTTTATTCCAAAGCAAATATGACTCTTCCCTTATTTCCTCATCTTAAACTTTCTTAAAGGAAATTGTCTTCATGATATTATCTTCAGGATTCTCCCCATGATTCGTGAGACTTAATCATGGTAGGCGAGCCCTGTGGCTCCCCACTCCTTCAACAGAAGCCAGATTTCAGATGCTCAAGGCCTCTGCCTCTTCGTTCAGGTGGTTCCATTGTTGGGATCACCAGTCTTCCAAAAGAGTGACTGTCTTTCAAATTGCTTTCCTTAATTTCAGATTTTGTTTTCTGGTTACCAAGTCATCTGACGTGGCCAGGGTTTTTAAAATTGTTGGTGATTGTACTAATTGTTTAAAAAAGAGCTTAAAAAATTATTGTAGAACCGAATCTGATCATTATGGGAAAAAAGTATAGAGAAATTGGTCATAAATATAACCACACTCTCACACAAACCATTATTAAGATTTTGACATAGTCCCATCAGTCATATGAGCTTTTAGTCTTGCTTTCATATGTTTATTAGCTAGGGTCATATTACATTTAAAATTTTTACCACCTTAACATTACAACAGCATCATAGTTACATGTATTATGCACTCATTATAATTTTTATTTGTGTAGATGTGTTTGTCATTGACTAGTTCACTTGATTGGTGACATATGCAAATTCTTTGCATTTTTTTGTTATGATAAATACTGCTACCAAGCACTTTGTTATGTGACTCATTTTATGAGTTGGGATCTTTACTTAAGGGAGACTCCTCTAAGTGAATTCTGCAGTCAAAACACAGGAACATTCTTAAGCATGTTGCAAACTCATTTTTTTGGAAATTTTATATAGATTTACAGAACAAGTATTTGTTCTTAGTATTTGTGCCCTCCTTTGATGCTAGTGTTAAAGCTTACCAGACATCTTTTTTTTAATCTCTCAAATCTTTTCACTGTAAAAATAAATCAAATATTTTTAAAGTGCAGAAAGTAAAATGTCTTTTCCATTTTCAACCCCAAAATTAAAAGCTTGATATATTTTTAACTCTCCTCCACACACACATGAGTGTCTGAAAAGTATAGGTCCCTGTGTACTGTTGTGTGCATACATGTGTGTGTAAAGCTGAAATACGCAATACACATTCTCCCTGACACTATGCAGGACTATTAAAACCTTTTTAATGGCTGCCTGATATTCAAACAAGGCTATATTATAGTTTACAGAGGCCAAGGACTTAGTACACATTTTTCCTATTGTAAACAATGTAACAATAAATACCTCCACATACACCTTTGCACAATTATGCATGCATTTATGTAGAACAAATCCTTAAAAACAGTGTTTTCTTACTAAAATTGAAATATCTTCTAATTTGTGGGAGTGCCCGATTATTACAAAACATTTACAGTTAAGGAACTCAAAATATTAATGCAGTTTTCGTTGTAGTTCCTCACTTGTAACTTGAGAATAGTCGAGGAACTAAGTGAATCCACAATATCCATTGGGTTCAACAAGATATCTTAAAGCTCGGGAAAAACGGCTTTTTCATCCCTTCAACAAACATGTACTGTTTACTGGATCAGGTTACTCTTCAGGAATTAAAAAAAAAAAGTCACTCCTCACTTAGAATCTGTGTCAAGCAAAAAAAATAAAGCAAAAACTAACATAAGGAAACCCCCTTCCCCCCCAAATATGATTTTTTTATCCTTCTCTTGAATGTAAGAGCTATATTCTTTGCAAGAGCTTAATGAACAAGGTTGATGAGAAGTTTGTTTCCTTTTAGTAATTATCTGTGATTCCATGTCGTTCCAAAATGCTTTGCGTTCAAGAGTCATCGGTGCAAAGCACCTAACTGTGGGAATGATATGAAACAGCGTATCTGTGCAAAGTCAGGATCCAAAGGCATAAAATTCTGCTCTTTCCTAAGGAAATGCTGGAAGTGGGTTTTCTTTTGCCAACGACCAGCTGTTGGAGCTACGGACCTGGGGTCTTAGGTAATGCCTCTCACCTGGCCCAGCCCCTGGTTTTACCAGCAGGGAAATAGGCTCAGAGAAGGAGAGGTGCCCGCCCAGGTGACACAGCCCAGTGAAGTGGAAGCCGGCCATGAACCCGTGCCTCCCGCCCCCACACCTGGTGCTTTCCAGCCACCACTGGCCTGTTTTCCCAAACCCGCCAGGCCCCCCTCTCCCCCCACTGGGCTGTCTTCCACAAGGCTGTAATCCTTCATTTCAAGACTGTACACGGTTTCATATTCACTGTGTCTTCACCTCAGTCATCTCTGCGATGAAGCATTTGCAGATAACCACTGATTGTCCAGAATGGATCCTCAGGCAGGTGAGGACCAAGGTCTGAGATGGAAGAAGGCGGGGCCTTCCTGTCAGTCACCGCGGTGTGCTGCACCTTTAAAAACAGACACACACACACACACACACACGCACACACAACCTTACCACAACCCA